AAATTTTAAAGCCCACATTGAAGATTTAACCAGCAGAGTCCGTAAATTAATCTTTATTTTCAAATCACTTCGTCACGTCACTAATCAGAGTATTATACGCAACGTTTATTTTGCACTTTGTCTTTCTATCATATCTTATTGCATTTCATGTTGGGGTGGTGCCGCAAAAACTATCTTGAAACCTTTAGAAATCGCACACAGATCAATTTTAAAGATTCTGGCCTTTCGACCCTAATTATATCCGACAATTCAGCTCTACAAAGATCACAACTTTCTTAATGTAAGACAATTGTTTATACTACGTACAGTGATGTTACAACATCGTAAGGTTCCATATATAGAAATTACCAAGAGGCGTGGAAATCTTTTTGTTTTCTCTGCGGTCCCTTTCTTTATAATAAAATGTAATATTTCTATTTATGAACTATCTAATTACAAATGTAAGAAAGCCGTGTACTCCTTCCTACTAAACAAGAGTTATGAAGAGACAGAACAGTACTTATTAACTAATTTATATTATATTAATATAATTATATTATGAGGTCACACATACACACGCACACGCGCACACACACACACACACACACACACACACACACACACACACACACGACACACACACACGACACACACACACACACACACACACACACACACACACACACACACACACACACACACACACACACACGCACCGAGACGAGAGCAATTTTGCTTTCCGATCACTTTTGTAAGGGGTAGGGACTGAATCTCCTTCAGGCTATTTTTAGTCTAGCAAGGAGAACAGAACGTCACCCTCACTAGTATTTTTGTAATGTATCTCATGTAACGATTTTTTTTATATGTACTACAAGTTAAAGTTTTTAATAAATTATTATTATTATTACTTATCCTTAATGTTTTATTATATCCTCTTTTCTCTAGTTATAAAAGCGTCTACTACTAAGACACTTTCAGTTAATTAATTATATCTTAGTATAAGACTCCTGACTGCTGGAGAAACGTGCGTTGCGCTGCACTATGCCCAAATGAGAGTGAGTGCGCAATGTCTTTCTCTGTTTTTCGCACACGTTAATTATTGGATCAAGTAGCTACGTCTCCTGAGATTTTGTGTTTTTTATAAAATATTCCCTAACGCAATAATTTATAGTTTAATCTCTTTGCATGAATGCTAGAGATATTTGCAGGCGAAATTGTGTATTTATTGTTTGTCTATGTGTGTTAGCTGCGAACCGGCGACACGCGTCCCGATATTAAAAGACAGTAGAAGGCATTTCTAGTACCTTATTATTTAGATTTCTGTGATTCCGACGGTTTCAAATTCAGAGACCTGGGAGTGATGTGAGTTGGGGGGCCAACTCAATGTTATTATCAAAACCAAATAAAATTTATTTGTATGAGGTTTTTTTTATATAGAAGAGGGGGCAAACGAGTATGCGGCTCACCTGATGTTAAGTGATTACCGCCGCCCATGATCAACCGCAACACCAGGGGAATTGCAGGTGCGTTGCCGGCCCTTTAGAAAGGAGTAAGCTCTTTTCTTGAAGGTCCCCAGGTCGTATCGGTCCGGAAAAATCGCCGGTGGTAAACTATTCCATAGAAAGGTTGTACGCGGAAGAAAACTGCTTTTGAAACGTACAGTGGTGGACCGCCAAGCATCCAGATGGTGTGAATGGTATCGGAACGTTTGCCGCGTAGTGCGTTCACGAAATTTGGCGGCTGGGATTAATCCGAACAATTCCTCAGAGCACTCTCCATGGTATATGCGAAAGAAAATGCAAAGAGATGCAGCATCTCTTCGCAATGCCAGTGAATCGAGCCGATCGGAGAGCACTCGGTGGTCGACGATTCGAGCCGCTCTGCGCTGGATACGGTCAAGTGGAAGGAGCTGGTACTGGGGAGCCCCTGCCCAGAGATGGAAACAGTATTCCATGTGCGGCCGAACCTGCGCCTTGTAGAGTAGCAGGCGGTGTGCCGGCATGAAATACTGTCCCGCTCTGCTGAGCACGCCAAGCTTTTTAGAGGCCAATTTGGCCTTCCCTTCCAAGTGACCACTAAACTGCACGGCACTCGATATGTCAACGCCGAGGATTCCAATACTGGCTGAGGCAACAAGGGGAGTGCCTTGAAACTGAGGGGATACGACAAAGGGGTTCTTTTTAGCGGTTAACGCGCAAACTTGTGTTTTCTGGGGGTTAAACTGGACTAGATTTAGTCGTCCCCAATCCGAGACTCTGTTCAGCAAAGACTTCAGAACTTTGAAAAACTTCAGACACAAGTTTATTCCGGCACTCGGAGACGTTTTCCCGAGAAATATTGGCTCGACCGGTGTAATGAGCATCACCAGTGCTGTCATCTGCATAGCAATGAATGTTACGGGTTTGCAGCATATCATTGATATGCAGAAGAAACAGCGTTGGCGATAGCACGCAGCCCTGTGGAACATCAGCATTAATAGGCTTGCAATCGGAGCTTGCACCGTGCACTACGACCTTGATGCTCCGATCTGCAAGAAAGCTGGTGATCCAATCGCACAATTTCTCGGGAAGCCCATACGAAGGGAGCTTAGAAAGAAGCGCTTTGTGCCAAACCCGATCGAAGGCCTTCGCAATGTCCAAACTAACGGCCAATGCCTCCCCCTTGGACTCTACTGCCTCCGCCCATCTGTGAGTTAGGTAGACCAGAAGATCACCAGCTGACCGACCACGGCGAAAACCGTATTGGCGGTCACTAATCAGCTGGTGATCCTCAAGGTACCTCATGAGCAGGCAGTTTACAATGGACTCCATTGTTTTGGAGAACAAGGAGGTGATGGCGATAGGCCGGTGGTTGGACGGGTCTGAGCGGTCGCCTTTTTTTAGGGATCGGGTGGACGAAAGCCGTCTTCCATGATTTTGGGACTACGCCTAGGGAGTAGGAGTACCGGAAAAGACGCGTTAAAACCGGTGCCAACTCTGGAGCACACGTCCTCAGCACAATTGGGGGGATTCCGTCAGGCCCACTCGACTTGTGGATGTCCAGGGGGAGGAGTGCTTTGCGAACCGAGCGCTATGTGAACTGCACTTCCGGCATGGAGCACTCACACCACGGGATGGTCGGCGGCGTACTCCCCCCGTCATCGAGAGTCGAGTTAGACGCAAAGAAAGAGCCTAGAAGATCGGCTTTCTCCTTTGCGGTATGGGCCAGTGAGTCGTCCTCCCTGTGCAGAGATGGAAGAGATGGCTGACAGAAATTCCCCTGGACAGCCTTGGCGAGAGACCAGAATGCACGGGTTCCAGAAGGAAGGTGAACTAGTTTCTCGCCAATTCTGCCTATGTGCTCTGACTTTGCCTTGGCAATGACTCTTTTGAAGTACCTAGAGGCGGAATTATACTTCTTTTTTAGAGCGCTGGTATTTACATCCCGGGACGCTGATGCGTCAGCCCAGGCCTGGTAGTACTCCTGCTTATAGCATGATGCTATTTTACAGGAGTGACCAAACCATGGCTGAGATTTGCCTCCAATGGGCACCACAGAGGAAGGAATAAAAAGTTCCATACCCTGAAGTACCACATCAGCGACAGAATCCGCAACAACGTTGGGATCGTCCGGCGAGAAGCAAACCCGCCCCCAAGGGTAGGATGCAAAGAAAGACCGCATCCCATCCCAATCGGCTGACCTATAGTGCCAAACACGGCGGCAGCCTGCATAATGCAACCGCGATTTCAGCGTGAGTGGCACCACACTCCGGACAAGACAATGGTCCGAGGAGCCTAAAGGGGCGTCGACGGAAATCTGATATCCGTCCGGGTGAGAGGTCAGCAGAAGGTCCAACAGGGAAGGTGCATGATCCTCCACATCTGGAATCCGCGTAGGCGAACCAGTTGTGTCAGACCATATGCCAAGGCAAAATCATGAACAGATCTCCCCGCATGATCGGTTAAACGTGAACCAAGCCATTCGGCGTGATGGGCGTTAAAGTTACCGAGGATCACGATCTCTGCGGAGGGGATCTGCTGTAGTAACGAATCTGCAGCCATTTGGACGTGGTCGAAGAGTCGGTCTGTTTCGGCATTACCGCTATGGGACCTATAAAGGCACCCTTAGACGCGCGGATGGTCGTCGCTGTCTACGCGTAGCCAAAGGATGGACAGGTCCGAACCTTCAAGTCTGCCGAGGCATCGAGAACAGATGTCCTCTCTGACGTAAACGCAAACTCCAGCCCGAGGCACAAAGGAGTGTTCCAGTTTGTACCCCGGGTAGGATAGATACGAAACATCAGCCCGAGAGGACATCTGCGTCTCGGTCAAAAAGAGCAGAGCTGGACTCGCCGTCTCGAGATGGTATTGGACGGCGTTTAGGTTAGAGTGAAGTCCCCTGATATTGCAGAAATTCACGGACAGCGTGGCAGGGGTCGCCTTGGTCTTGTTGCTCCGTTTGCCCCGAGCAGTTGTAGTCTTGAGCGGAATTTTGCCCCCCCCCCCCCCCCGATTACGTGGGGCAGCCTGAGCACCCATGCTTAGGAGTGGAGACACATGGTCGTGGATGCTCAGCGAGGGATTCTCCAGGGGTGCTGGTACCCTCCTAGGGTAGTCTGTCATTTAATTCCGCTACCATGTTGATGGGGGGGGGGGGGATTTGGGCCTCCGGCCACCTGCACTCACCAGACGAAACGCGAAAGTAGAGTTTCCACTTCACGCCGGTATTCTGTGAGGTCGTGGTACCACCCCGGTTTGAGCCGGCCCATACGTGCGACAGCAAAGCTGCCGCGTGGCTCTACCACTGTTATTTTTATGAAAGAATAATTGTTTGTTTTTTTTATGAAAGAATAATTGTAAATTATTATTATTGAGAAATAAAAAAGTTACTTCATTCTAAAATGGTGTTGTGACTTCTGGGCTAACCTAGACAACCGTTATATAGTTCCAGTGGCTCTACCACATAGGTACTCAGGCGGAGAAAGAGTTCTATAACCTATTATAATATTATATAACGGATATTATACAAAGGGTTTTACTTACGTTCACCAGATACATGCATACTTGAAAATATCCTGACATCACAGCCATTTTCTCTCGCCGAGTCTACGAGGGCTACATACTCCTTTCTTTTCGAAATGTCTTGACACCTGGATGCATATAAATTTTAAATTATACACAACATGAAAATGAACACTTTACATTTAGTTTGAAGTTTTTAAAACAAAACAAGTACAACACATAGGGTTAGATAAAACAAACAGGTTCAACCAAAAATAAACTATTATGTTAAAAGAACATCTAAGTATTTGGTAGTTAAATTGTTTAACAAAATAGATATATTAAGAGAAAAAGTAAAAATTAGTAAAGGATCACTTAAGAGAATATTAAAAAACATTATACAGGATCGCTAAAAGAACTAAAAGCGAGTTCATTCTGGTAGATTAAACCATAACAATATAATATACAAGTATTAGGTATTTAATTACTATATAATTAAAGTTACATGTATATAAGGATATACATAGTTAACATAACAACAAAATGTCATAGGTTTACTTATATTATATGTTATATTACATAATTGTGTACTCTTGTGTCCAATATTATGAGTACATAAGGTGGTTCATTGTTATATAAAAGAGCGTCTCTCGCCATCAAACCTAAGTTTCTCGAGTTTAGAATTAAATAACACTACTGTATTATAAATTCATTAATAAGTTTTAAAAAACAATTTCAAGTCTCGCTTTACTCAGCAGAAAACTCAAGACGTCGGTTCTTTAATTAGCCCGTAAAGGTCCAGTGCTGATAAGTGGCCTCTCCCGCGAGGCAGACGGATTGACAATCGCTGTAGCCGACGCCTCGCACCTTATAATACTGCTATTAGTCGCCGTACTGGTTATTCTACACCTGGCGTAATGAGATGGTGAAGCCACCATCTATCGAAAGCCGTAAGATTTCCTAGCATTACCACCGATAGCCTATAGGCTTCTACGACACGATTGAGTTATATGTACTACGTACTAGAGAAACTATTCCAAACAAAAAATGTGCACTACTCTGTATCCGTACATGCGCGGGAAACAGAGTCGCGATTGCGCAGTTGATATAAACGCGCGAAAATTGTCATAATCAATATTTATTAAGATTGTATTGTTAATCGAGTATATTTTTTTTAAATTTTCGTTTATTTTGCATATGTGCTAATTTAATACAAAATTATTTTTAGCGCTGCTCCGCACTGCATGAATATCGAAGCCACAATAACAGGTGTAAGGATTGCAGTACAGTTCAGTTGAACATAGTGAGTATTCGGAATGCGAAATCTAGTGCGTAGGACATACATATCGATGTACGACACCCACGGAACAAATAATGTGAGGGATTCTCTTCCACCACTACACGCTAGTCTTGATAATTATCAGTGTCATTACAACCCTTCACAAGTCCACGGCTGAACAATGCCACAAAGCACGATCCTAAGCCATTTTCAACCATCGACTTCCTGCAAGACTTGCACGACTCGTACGATGCTGCCACTCGAGAACCTTTCTCCCCCATCGGTTGTCGGCGCTTCGAGCTATATAGGCGGCCCATTGCCACTTCAGTGTACTAATCCGTTGGGCTATTTCAGTTACTCTGGTCCTACTTTTTTTTTATTATAAGGGGGCAAACGAGCAGTCGCAGCCATTTTCATGACTACCGACGCCCATAGACATCTGTCTGGACGTTGTACAGATGCGTTGCCCTCCTTTCCCCTCCCCACCCCAAGGGCCACCGGATACTTACACACCGCACGAAACGCGACAGCTCAGCTGCCACTTTACGCCGGTATCGTGTAAGCGAGAGGTACTTCCCCGGTCGTGTCGGTCCAATTCGGCTACATGCATGCATGCAGCGTGGCACTACCTCTTTCAATAATTGCTACTGCGGATATCCTCATTTTTAAGTCTATCACACAGAGAAAGGAACAAGTAGATATCCTCCTTCCGAAATCTATTACGCCAGTGAAACTCCGAGCATAGCCCTCTCCATAGCTCGCTGAGCGACTTTGAGCTTCCTCATACGTAATGATTTATTATATTTACGCGAACACTACACATTTAAATAAAACTAGTTTTTACATGCGGCTTTTATCGCGTATATTAACTTATTTTATATTTCCGACGTTTTAAGCACTTTACAGCACTCATGGTCACGGAGGGGACTGAGGTGTTCGATGTCCCAATGTCATTAACTATGACATTGGGACATCAAACCTATCAGCTACCTCCAGAATAACTTTTCACATACGGCCAGCAATGAAAGACCACGTTTTAAGATTCATAAGTCATCTCTAGCAACACGCACTGGCTATACAATCTTATTTTCAAGTTTTGAGGTACCTGCATATGCCTGACGAAAAGATGTGTCGTAATCTTCCGAACGCTGCCTAGCCGAGTTGAATTCAGCGATTGACCTCTCGATCGAAGTTGAACTTACCTAGTCGGACTATTGGTCCCAAGTAAACATATTCGTCAATAACTTAGCGTAGTGCTTCCAACAATAACTGGCATAGATGTGACATGGACGTTACTCATGACCATTGTTTTGTCCATGTTCATCTTATGACCTATCCGTTGGAAGACACTGTTAAGGTCATTGAGCGCAGTCCTTAGATCCTCCAGCGATTCTGTCATAAGGACTATATCATCGGAAAATCAAAGATGAGTGATGTTATACCGTAACTTTTCCAGTCCAGTTGTCTGGAAACTTCCTCCAATGCAGCGGTGAAGAGTTTCGGGGATATAACGTCACCCTGTCTTATACTTCTCTGCAGTTGGATAGGTTAGGTACTCTAGTTCTGTACTCGGATAGATATCGTAGCCATACTGTACAAACACTTCAATACTTCGATATACCGTCAGTCAACTTGGCACCACTGAGGGGACTGCAGCAACGCCCAAATTCAACGGAATAAAATGCTTTCTCATAGTCCACATACGTAAAACAAAGTGGCAGATTACACTATTCGGTCTTCTGTACAATTTACCGATGGGTATTTATGTGATCTATGGTACTAAAGCCGGTTCGGGAGGCTGGAAATCATCGTAACTGCGTGCGAGACGATTAGGAATGACTCTCGAAAAACAGCACGTAGATGCGGCTCAGAAGGAAAATCGGTCGGTTGTTCTTCAAAAGAGCGTTGTCGCCTTTCTTGAAGAACAACACCACCGCACTATTTCTACCTTACGCCTCCGGAGAAGTGCCACAAAGGAGGACGGAATTAAAGAGCTTCTGAAGAACTTAAAGTACCGGTTTTCCACCCGCTAACAGTAAACTCGCTGTAACTCTATCCTCGTCCGGGGCCTTGCTGTTTTAATCTGTTAAAGAGCCATTCTAATCTCAATCAGACTGACTCAATCTCACTCAAAATCTCCGGTGTCCCGAAAACGATGCTACCACATTCGGACTTCAGCTTCAATAGTTGGCTCTTTCTGACAGACTAATATCTGGCGGACTCTACAACCTTGGTTCCGCACTACTGAGAGCTATAATATATAGCTCGCCGCATGCGTTTGGAGATCTGTCTGTTCAGTTGACTGTAAGCCGCCATATCTGCTGAAGACTGCAGTAACTTCATTTCCCGTCTAACATTCTAAGATTCAGTGTGATCGGAGTTTTTGGGGTTTTCTGCAACGGTTCTTGCAGAACTTAGCTCCGACTTCATGGACCGTTTCCATGTGCTTATCATTCATATCGTCCACTGTATTGCAGTTTTCTAAACACTGAAAACGATTCTGTAACTCAAGCTGATAGTTTTCAGGGCACTGGATTAGAACACGAGAGACACGGATCGTTGACTTCATTAGACGTGACCTCCCCAACATAAAGTTTAGGTTCAGTGTTTCTCACCAGTTGGTGATCGCTGCCAGTTTTTACTTTCATGATCACCAAGACATAACTGAACAGCTACTGTCTAGTCGTCATAATGTAGTCAATCTCATTTTTTGTCGAACCGTCGAGGTTCAACTGGTTCTACTGTGGATGTCTTCATTACAAATCCTATGGCACATGAAAACTGAGCATAATACCTCTCGATAGCTTGATGAGCAACCTTTACCTTCCTCATACGGAGATGTCTTGAATTATATTCATCCTTGTTTTCAAGTATTGAGTAATATATATATAAATTAGTGTTAATTTTTTAAAGTTCTGATCTCATGTATTTCCGCCCCATAAACATAACAGTTTATTTTTTACTATACTATTACTAAATCTAATTTTTACTTTATTAATATCATTTATTCAAAAGTATAAATTATTTCGTTGTTTCATGATAATCTATAAACATTAAATTAAAATAGAATAATCACCTAAATAATTTATCAGAGATCATAAGTGTCTCAAGAGCAAGCGCCTCATTTGCCTTTTCAACATGTTTCTTGCCATAAAATGCCTTTGCTGGTTCCAACTGCAACATTGTATAAAAACTCTCGAGTAGTTTCACTTCGCTAGCTGCTTTTGTGTCTGATATCTTTGCCATTACAGATGGTTCTTGAAGAACCTCTGAAACATAAATATTGGCATAAGTATCAATTTAACTTCTAGAAAGGAAATATTTAATACTCATGATAATAATACTAGATGTATCATTCATGATCATTATGGTTCAATGGCCAGGTGTCATAATTTTTACCCGCTTCAAAAAGAGGGGCCCTCAATTTGATTATATCAATGTTTTCGATGAACTCAGATTTCATGATGAGGAATACAAGAATTCTCTTATATCTTCCCTAAAATATATAAGAGCAATAAATAATGCAATTTTGATCAATTTCCTTAATTTAACTACACACAAAATAATGAATTATGTATGGTATGGACATTAAAAGGATCTTCTGAGCTTTTAATTGACAACTCCATACAGTAATCTTTATTTCATTAGCTGTGTCTTTGTGGACAATAGTGGCTCTAGCGGTTAAGAACAGAGAATGGTGTACTATAAATTATACACCTCATTAGAGCTCCATGTATAGTTGCCGACACGAGTCGTGAGCACAGATTAACTGGTGGGAGGTAGGTACACTGTCGAGCAAAATTATTGGGTACCTTTATTATTTCAATTAGTAATTGAATATTTTCGCCGACTTATGAAAATGTTTACTCGAACACATCAACTTGATACTTTGATACAGTAATGCTGCAGATATTCGTGTCCGTTATTTTATTATCTACTATAAAGTATTTAATGTATAACTGGTAGTTAGAATTGGTTATTTTATTAAGAAGAAGGAAGAGGTGATATGCATTCCATAAAATCTGGTGTTGCGGCGCACCGCCGTACAATAGCTACTGAGACATTAGTCGCCTCAGCAGTCTGTTTATATACGTCTATGATGTTTTTCGCAGTACCTAATTTTTTCATGTAACTAAACACTGAATAGACCATTTGTCGGGATTGTCTATTTAACACCGAATTCTTCCTTCTCTGCATATTTAGACCAAAACTTGAACACACAAATTATAACAACAAAAATAATTATAACAAGAAATAACAAAAACAATTAATAACAAGGAATACACAAACAACAATTAACAACGAGGTAACAAAAACAATTAACGAAAATAAACTAATTAAAAAGTTATCACTAAAATTATTGCTCTGAAGTGTACGGAAGCCGAATGATAAGTTTGAAACCAATAGATGAAGAGAATCGACTGATGAACCAATCACGTTGAATGTCAGCGTGGTTAACGTCGTATCGACCAATAAAAGTGTGCTCACGACTTATGTCGGCAATTATATATAATACATGTAATATTTATCGTAACATTTTTAAGTACATTCTATCTTAAATTCACGCCATTAAGAAACTATGAAAAATTAATAACATTACACTAAACTACATTACAAATTTGAAGGAACTTATTTTAACATCGAAAATTGCTAAATCTTGACATCTTAATTTCCATTTCTTGATGAAGATGATGAAAGCTATGCCAATCATGATTTGAAATGGTCCTGAGAAAATGTCTGAGACATATAGATAGATAGAGAGTTAATGAGGTTAAAAATCAAGGAAGTTTTGGTATGGAAAACCAAAAGCCATAATTATTAACATAATATTGTGAATTTTGAATGTAGTCTAGGACAATTTTATATTATATAGTTTAGGATAATTTCTGTCTAAGTCTAGGATAATTTTAATTTATTTTATATATTGTATATATTTATAATGTTAAAATAACCTTTTAAAGAATGTTTGAATCCAGATGACGCTTTTACCAATAAGAACTTTCCTTTGTTATCAATAAGCAGTTTGTTATCCGTTTTAATAGCTTGCTGCATCATGTAATCAAAAAACTGATCTTTAACAAATCCTGGAGATGCAAGTATCACACACTTAACAACGTTGAAATCAATATGCCTTAATATACCCTGCATAACAGCATCATAAAATTTGTTGAGACCCTGAAAATAAACAATGCAATTTAATTAATATTTGTTCTAATATGTCAATGTTACATTACCACAATCTGCTATTAATGAATATAAAATTTCTTTTTGTTCATTCAACCTTTTATAAAAAAAGGTTAAATATCTCCAATTTTTTGTAAAACTAGCAACACTGTTTTTGGTGACTGAATCTGAATGTGTGGCAATATTATTACTAGACGATTGCTGCTGCTGCATGTATTTTTAACTTCTCGCTAAGAAAATTAAAAATTTTTAAAAATCGGTTATTGTTTTTACCGTTTTTCGAAAATTGAGTTTTTATCAAATCTTGCCATTTGGAGGTCACTGGAAGCCACCCACACAAGTTTTCGATGGTGTCTGTATGTCTGTATGTATGTATGTGTGTGGATGTTTTTAAACCTCTTATAACTTTTGAACGGCTTGACCGATTGAAATGAACTAATCCGGTTTCCATTTCCTATGAATTTAAACTAAGTCGTATTAGTAGATTTAAAAAAATCTCAAAAATAAAAATTTTGAAAATCTATTTTTTTTAAATAACTTTTAAATGGCTTTATTGATCGATTCCAAAAACTATTCAGCTTTTAACCTTGAAAAACCACCTCGATCGCCGCCGTTCCGGCAAAATCGGTTGATTCGTTCATGATGCCGGCGCCACACATTGGATTCAAATTGGGTCCAAACTTGGCTACGAATTATGGCTAATCATTGTATAAAAGTTAATGCGGCCACACATTAACTCCAATACCTTTTGGCAAACTTACTAGCCAAGAGCATTGGATGGTTGGATCGCAGCTCAACTCGTCATTCTCTTGCGAGTATGTACCAGCAGCAGTCATGTCGGATGAGAACCTACTTGCTCTGGCAACTTACGCCTATGCATTGAGCACATATTATTACTTTGTCAATCAAGCTGCAGTTACAAAAAGGAAACCAAAGAAAAGACGATTCTGGATGATAAAAATGCACGCTGATCGAACAAAGTAAGTCCTTGATTTAGGTACTTAAACTTAAAACTAGCTGTTTAGCGCAACTTCGTCCGCGTTTCCGGGATAAAAACTATCCTATATTAATCCTTGGGCTTCAACTATCTCCGTACCAAATTTCATAAAAATCGATCCAGTAGTTTTGAGTTTATTCGTTACATAAATACTAACTTTTCCTCTTTATAATAATAGTGTGGAATGTGGATGTAGATATTTGTTAATACCAGCTACATGAATTTAAAAAAATTGATTGTATACTTTTGCTTATTTCAGAAACGACGAAGGAAGGAATTTACTAGCGGACTTTATTCACGAACCTTCAGGACAATTTGATAATTTCTGTCGGATGTCATTTTCCGATTTTGAATTTCTACTTCAGAAAATTGGACCAGCAATAGCAAAGAAAAATACATGTTGGAGACAGGCTATTCCAATTAAAGTTCGCTTAGCAGTAACGTTTTTTGTTATTAGCCGTGTAGTGGCGGTTAAGAATATCCACTACCCCATATCTTCCCGTGGGTGTCGTAAAAGGCGACAGAGGGAAACAGGCAGGAGATGGGCAGCAGCATCTTCCTGATACCAGCAACTGTACGACAAAAAAAACTGCGGTTGCCAACCCGCTCGCCAAGCGTGGCAACTATGGCAATATACCCCCCATGCACAATTACACAAATAGACGGCCCCCAGTCCCCGGCGGCCCCGCTATTCCTGGCTACGGTGGCGACCATGGTAACGGCGGGGCAGGGGGTGCTAAGAATCTCCGGTGGAGGTTCGGTTGCCACCTACGACGACTCGACCTGGCAACATTTAACGCACGCACCCTGAGGACTGACGAGAAGATCCTGGAGCTGGAAGAAGAGATAGACAAGTTGCGCTGGAATATTATAGGATTATCCGAGGTCCGGAGAGAGGGGGAGGACACGGTGATTAGATAGAATCCGGCAACTTGTTCTATCACCGGGAGGGCGACCATCTGTCCCAAGGAGGTGTCGGATTTATCGTCCACAAGTCTCTCGTCAACAACGTTGTAAAGATTGGGAGTGTGTCGACGAGGGTCGCGTACCTGATACTCAGAATCACCAAACGGTATTCGCTGAAGGTCATACAGGTTTACGCACCAACCTCAGCACATCCCGATGAGGAGGTGGAGGAAATGTATGAGGATATTTCCAAAGCCATGCATTCCTCCAAAACCCGGTGTTGATGGGAGACTTCAACGCAAAACTAGGCACAAGAGAAAACGGTGAGCTGAATTTAGGGAAATTTGGAGTAGGGCAACGGAACCGAAGGGGCCAGCAGCTGGCCGACTTTATGGAGAAAGAGGGACTCTTTATGTGATGAACTCTTTCTTCCAAAAGCGGCCCCACAGGAAGTGGACCTGGTCGAGCCCTGACGGTTCGATAAAAAATGAGATTGACTTCATTATAAAGACCAGACGCCAACTGTTCAGTGATGTCTCAGTGATCGCAAGGGTGAAAACTGGCAGCGATCACCGAATGGTTAGAGGCACACTGAACCTAAACGTTAAGTTGAGAGGTCTCGTCTAATGAAGTCAACGCTCCGTCCCCCCTCGTGCTCTAATCCAGAATCCCGAAAACTTTCAGCTCGAGTTACGTAACCGCTTTCAGTGCCTACAAGATTGCAATGCAGTGGACGATATGAATGACAAGCTCGTGGAAACTGTCCATGCGGTCGGAGCTAAGTTCTGCAAGACCCGCCGCAGAAGAACACAAAAACTCTCCGATCACACTCTTAATCTCATGGCTGTTAGACGGGAGATGAGGCTGCAATCGTCAACAGATTTGACAGCATACAGGCAACCGAATAGACAGATCTCCAAATGCATGCGGCGAGACTTACGCAACTTTAATACTGCTCGTATTAAAGAAGCGATCGAGCGGAACCAGGGCTCCAAAGTCTTTGCCAGAGATCTGTCTGTCAGTAAGAGCCAACTGTCAAAGCTGAAGACTGAGTGTGGCAGCATCGTTTCCGGGACACCTGAGATTTTGAGTGAGATTGAGAGGTTCTATGGGCAGCTGTACACATCATCGTTGGAGCCACACGCAAGTGTGAGTAACGATCCAAGGCAAGTCTTATCCGACACTATTCCGATGATATCCCGGACGTCAGTCTGAGCGAGATTAGAATGGCTCTCCAGCACCTTAAAAACGGCAGGACCCCAGGCGAGGATGGAATTACAGCGGAGCTTCTGAAAGCGGGTGGAACACCGGTACTTGAAGTCCTTCAGAAGCTCTTCAATTCCGTCCTTCATGGTGGCATTACTCCAGAGGCGTGGAGCAGAAGTGCGGTGGTCTTGTTCTTTAAGAAAAGCGACAACGCTCTCTTGAAGAACTACAGACCGATTTCCCTTCTGAGCCGCGTCTACGTGCTGTTTTCGAGGTCATTACGAATCGTCTCCCACGCAGACTCGACGACTTCCAGCCTCCCGAACAAGCCGGTTTCCGAAAAGGCTTCAGTACCATAGATCACATACATACCCTGCGGCAGATAGTACAGAAGACTGAAGAGTACAATCTGCCACTTTGCCTGGCGTATGTGGAGAATGAGAAATGCCTATGATAATATGAGAAAGCCTTTGATTCCGTCGAAATTTGGGCAGTGCTACAGTCCCTTTAGCGGTGCCAAGTTGACTGTCGGTATATCGAAGTGCTGAACTGTTTGTACAGTAGGGCTACGATGGCTATCCGAGTACAGAACCAGAGCTCGAAACCTATCCAACTGCAGAGAGGTGTAAGACAGGGTGACGTTATATCCCCGAAACTCTTCACCGCTGCATTGGAAGACGTTTTCAAGCTACTGGACTGGAAAGGATACGGTATTAACATCAATGGCGAGTATATCACTCACCTTCGATTTGCCGACGATATAGTCCTTATGGCAGAATCGCTGGAGGACTTAAGCACTATGCTCAATGACCTCAATAGTGCCTCCCAACGGATAGGTCTTAAGATGAACATGGACAAAACAAAGATTATGTTTAATGTCCATGTCACACCTATGCCGGTAGTTGTTGGGAGCACTATGCTCGAAGTTGTTGACGAGTACGTTCACCTGGGACAAATAGTCCGACTAGGTAAGTCCAACTTCGACCGAGAGGTCAATCGACGGATTCAACTCGGCTGGGCAGCGTTCGGGAAATTACGACATATCTTCTCATCAGGTATACCTCCAATCTCTAAAAACTAGATTGTACAACCAGTACGTGTTGCCAGTGATGATTTACGGATCTGAGACGTGGTCCTTCACTGCTGGCCGTATGAGGACGCTCAAGGTCGCTCAGCGAGCTATGGAGAGGGCTATGCTCGGAGTTTCTCTGCGTGATAGACTCAGAAATGAGGATATCCGCAGTAAAACCAGAGTGACCGACATAGCCCAACGGATTAGTCAGCTGAAGTGGCAATGGGCCGGCCATATAGCTCGAAGAACCGATAACCGATGGGGAAGAAAGGTTCTCGAGTGGCAGCCTCGTACCGGTAGGCGTAGTGTAGGGCGACCACCCACTAGATGGAGTGACGACCTGGTAACATATGCAGGAAGACGATGGATGCAGGTGGCGCAGGACCGTGCTTTGTGGCATTACTTGGGGGAGGCCTATGTTCAGCAGTGGACTTGTGAAGGGCTGTAATGATGATGATGATGATAGCAGTAACGTTAAGGTTTCTGGCCAGAGGCGATACATATAGATCTCTCCATTTTCTATTTAGAATATCCAGCCAAATAATATCCAAAAATTGTACCCGAAGTTTGCAAAAGAATTATTGATGCTCTTCATGACGAAGGGAAGGTGAGATTTTTTATCCAAACACCTATTATACTTATTTGTTTTTAATAAAAAAATCTGAGCTTTACAAAATCACAGACAACAAATTTATGATCATTACTAGTACTTATCTAACGATAATATTAATCAATATCAGAAACTCATTTGTTTATTCTTCATCAATGTCGTTGGCCTTATCTTCTTCTGCTAATTGATATGCTTGTTGTATAATATCTTGTGACAATATTGTTATTTGCTTTTTTTAGAAACACTAGACAGATTGTTAGGCGGGGGGATTAAATGTGTAGGAATTAGATGTAGAAGCTCCATAATTATATAAATCAACATTTGACATATCATTATTTGGCACTTGATTATATGGGGAAGTGGTTTGAATTTGATCATTGTATGTGCTAGAACTGGCATTACTAAGTCCAGTCGAAGGACGAGGGGAATAGTTATAGATAGTCTGGTATGTTAGAGCATGAATATCATACATCAATTTGTCTCGTTCCGTATCGTTCATTCTTTTTAATTTCTTTGCTAACATATTACAGAAATAATCAGTTTCGTCCATTTCGTGACGTTTTGCGGCCTCTGTCATTACTTCATAAGCATTATTCATTTGTTTTTTAACTTGCTGAAGCTCAAGATTCGGTACAGAAGACGTTTTGTTATCAATTTTTCTTTGTGTTTGTTGTTGACCTTGATGCCCAGTTGTTTCTTGTCTTTTTTGTTGTTGTGGCTGTTGTTCTGGTTGAGTGGGTTCGTTAGTTGAGGTCTCATTTGACTCCTGTAAGTTCTGAAAATATATGAAAGTATTAGTTATATAATTATGTTACAAATAATTATAAAGATTACTGTTTTAATCAGTGGCCTACAGAAAAGCATCAAAGTTTCAAGAACGTTGTAATTTCCCGCATTGTCTAGGAAGCATAGATGGAAAACACGTTCGAATACAGTCTCCTATTCATAGTGGATCTGAATACTACAATTATAAACAATATTTTAGCATTATTTTGCTAGCAGCTGTAGACAGTGATTACATGTTTATGTTGGCTGACGTGGGATGCCAAGGAAGAATTAGTGATGGAGGTGTCTTCAATAACAGCACTTTAAAGGAAAAAATACATGCTGGTGAAAATTTCCCTAGAGACAGATGTATTGCCAGGCCGAACAACTGAGTGCGCTTTTGTATTTCTCGGTGATAACTCATTTCCTCTAAGTAGACAGTTATTGAAACCATTTCCTGGTAATCCACCACATGGTAGCAAAACCAGAGTGTTTAATAATAGATTATCTGGTACACGAGTTGTAGTTGAAAACGCATTTGGAATTATGTCATCAGTTTTCAGAGTTTTTAGAGTACCAATGCTTTTACAGGCCATTCAAGTAAAAGTCATTACTCTGACTTGTATATATTTACACATTTTTTTAAAAAGGAGTAGGACTTCTAGTTCTATATATTGTCCAGAAGGAACTTGTAATAATACAGAACAAGCTGATGCATTCAGTCCACTTTCGAGAGTTCCTGTCAGACCACCGATAGCGGCTATAAATGTTAGAAACGAATTTGCAAACTTTTTTTACAAACAGTAAAAAAAACCTTAAGTTTATTGCATTGCATTGATTGCGGCTGTAAATGTGTATGTTACAATTAAAACCCGTTCTTAGTTAGAACGCGTTTTTCCTAGTTAGAACTAGTTCTCACTAACTGCCTTTGTTACAACTAGAATTAACTGCTGTTAAAAATGACTTATCAGTGAAAACTAGTTCAACTAGACAAAACGCGTTGTGTCTAGTTAGAACTGTTTCTGTTTCAACCGAGGTTAAAGTTTAGCCGAGGTTAAAGGTTAAAGTTTAGTTGACTTTACATACTTAATATCATATTGACTTTAACGCATTTGTTGATTTTTTCTACCAGCAGTAATTAAATACCTAAGTTGCGTAATTGTAATGTACAATGTAATGTGTACCTATATTGGCAATAAAATGTTAATAACAAACTTTAAATGTACATACTTAATTAAAAAGAAATATGTAATATTAAAATAATGCATGATTTATTAAACTTACCTCCGTCTTTATTGGTTTTCAGTCATAGTTAGTCTTCAAAAAGGAATGCATAACTTGGTATGCAAACCAATTTGTTTCGTAAATTTCATGTGCACCAGCACCTGACTTTATGGAATTTTTCATTTTTTTAAAATGATATCTATATGTTGTCATTAACGATTCTTTTTTCTTTTTTAAGTCGGCAACAGTAATGCCTTCTATGCACATCCCTCTTCGAATCCTCTCCCACGAATCTGCTAATACATTTTTATTTTTGTGGTATTTGTTCACTGGATTCCACAGTACTTCTTCTTGTCTATACAATTCCAGAAACTCGAATACTTGCTCATTCGACCAGTCGGCATTCTGAGAGTCCATGCCATACGTCCGATTTGCACTCAGAATAGCGCGCACTGATACAAACAATGTGGGGACCCGGGAGCCACGTTGGATCCAAGTTGCCCGCCCGCCTACCCCCTTCACTCCCCTCGCCTTTGTTGGTGTATGAAAACCGACACATCACGGGTCGACATTGGCTATTGGACACAATGTTACATTTATGGCCAGTTCGGGCCAAGACCGATCCACACATTGGTGTATTGGATCCAAGACTATAACTTGGAGCCAATATATCCAATGCGTGGTGCCAGCATGAGATAACATACGAAAAATTTTGACAAATTGGTTTAAGTAACCTCAATATTTCATATTCAACATCATAATTTGGTGAAATTTGGAGCGCTTTGCATTTAAAATTAGGGAGAAGTTCTAGAGATGGCCTGCAGGGTCAACCAATTTTTTTTTATTTGGGGCAACAAACAATACTACAATAAATATTACAAAGAATAATAGTTTGAATAAAAATCCGAATGAAAAATTGTTCAATCACCTACATTATCCACATCTTACTTGGTTTCGCTGAGTACATTTGTATTACAATTTAATTCAACTTTATTTTATTTTTTGCGTTTTATATCATTTTATTGTTTGAAAAGGATAATATGAACATAATCATGTCACAATAACGCCACAGTCCGGACTGGAATTTTTATAAAATATTTTACATATTATATCAAGGTTGAAAGCTGCACCTGGATGTAAGTGCACTTACATCCAGGTTTAGCCAGCTACAACTAGATGCCACCAACAGTGCTTACTCAAACTTTATTTTATTTTATTTATTCGTGACTAAAACTATGTGAGGTTGGTTGCTTTCACTAGGTAACTAGGTAAAATCTGAATAATAATAAAATTGGCCAGTTCAGCCAGTTCTGTATAGCCTAAATTTTATATGATAAATATAGGCGGAGTCTGCAAATTAGTCCACCCTCTAATTATATTTCCATTTTGTGATTAAATCCATATCTACTATTAATTATTAAACTCATAACAAAAAATTTCAAATTAAATTTTAATATAGCAAACATACATATATGAAGAATCTTCAAAAATGTGTATTTATATAGATGCATCTAAACAACTTACCTTGTCATGTTGTTGAACAAATCCTTTCCTTTTCCTTGGAATTGTGACATCAATTTTAGATCGCACTAATGTCATAGAAGGTGTGATGAGGCAGACATGAGCTAAACCTTCTTGCATAACAACAGCTGCTACATCAGCAGTAGCAGTAGGATCACATGCTGTTTCCACCCGATCTAGAGCAACTGAATCCCACAGAACTTTTTGTAAAATGAACTTTCTGTTTTGTTCTAAATCTAATGTGTGATAAGCACCCATCTGAAAAGTAATTAAGTATATCAAATTATACTCCATTAAAATATTTAATAATAGTAAATAAAATATTTTTTTTAATAACTAATAGCAAAACAGTAGCCTTCTCAAAAGAAGTTACTAGGCAACAATTTTGCAGGATAGTTATAGGACTATTTAAACTGTTATAGAAAATTAAAGTTAAAATTTAGAGTTGTGTTATTTTAGGAAAATGCAATATTATTCCAAATCTATATCACAATAAACTTATAACACAACATTTATCACATCACTAGGGTTTTTTAAGCCCACAGATGAACCCAGGCCCTTTCAAGAAGGTGCCAGCTGTTGTTTTTCAATGAATATTTTGGTAAATTATGTACTTACCTTCACATATTGGTTTTCTTCTATGTTGCGTCCCTTTAAACGCAAAACACATGCTTGTGTGTCGAAATCTATGCTTTCGACTCTAATAGTGAGAGTAGTTCTTACTCTGTTACTAGTGGAGGAGCCAGTTGATGACTCCGTTTGTACTTTTCGTACAGTCGAAGCAGTCACTGCATCACCCTCTGCGATTAAATTGTAGGCATGCCACATGTCTTCTGATTCCTCTGGTACGAGGCCGATGCTCCTTTAAAATTTCATTGTTAAATTCCGTAATTTAACAATATCAAAGTAATTGTTTCATTTTGAATGCTACTTACCCACAGCCATCCTTTTCAATGTTTTTAAATATGAGCTTCATCTTACAAAAATATTTCCAAAGCTTCGCTAGATTACGTCCATATTTAATACATTAATTAAAATTCAAACACTTATTATACATTTACTGTAAAACAATGATAACAATTCACAGTCTTTACTTTTCTCGTTATCAATATCAAATGTCATGAATGTCAGTTGTGTCAGTGTCACCTGTCACGTTCTACCTTCGCGTTGTATTTAATAGGCCCGCCACATTCACACGGATGTCCGCTTCGGAATTCCGTTTCGGAATTCCGATTCGGGATTCCAAACGCAGCAAGTACATACAAAATCAATGACCCATCACACACCTACGGTAGTTTTCCGTACGGAATTATACGGGCAAAAAGATTCCGTATGGGTGTGGCCGACTCGTTCATTCAGTTTTGAAATTCCGAAACGGAATTCCGTATGTAGTGTCTGGCGAGCCTTAAACCCACTTTTCACTATGAGATATAATATAATTTCTTTTATATCTACGTGGACTTATAATAGGCTTGGGTAAAAAATATCGATGTATCGACGTATCTCACCTCTCGTATAATGCGAAACAATATAATATATCGATATATTTTTTTCACTTGCCCATCCCTAATTGGACTATGAGTGTCAATGTCAAGTATCAAATCCGCAAATCTTATATTTTGGTTCATAAAAGATAGCTTGATCTCTGCGACAGCTGTCAGTAATAATCATGCCTATGAAGTTCTGAATTTCTTAGTAGTACAGACAGTACCTGTCAATGTTATACTTTATGTGAATGTACTAATTAGGTCGGCATGCCCATAAAGTATGACATTGACAGGTACTGTCTGTACTACTAAGAAATTCAGAACTTCATAGACTGAGAATATACTTGGACGTGCCGACATATATATGAGACCTTTTTTCACGTAAAATGATCTTCAATTTTTATTTAAATAATTTTCTGTGTTTAAAGAAGCTTCTCGTTATTTAAACTTTTTATTTATTTAACCGAACTTCAGTTTGTTACTTCAGTTACTGAAGTAACAAAAGAACTTACAGTTCAGCAGGTGTTAAATGGCTATTGTAGTCCATGGACAAACGAAAAAGACTTCCGATTTGTTTTAACTGAGACTGTACTGCTCTATACCCTACAGACCGGAACGAAAAAGTCCAAGAAACAGAAACATAAACTTATATAGATTATAAATAATACTGAAAGTTTTATATTATATTCAACTTTTTTGCTTAGTTTACCACTGGTTCGAAATAACATTTGTTCTGGGAAGAACTAGCAAGAAACCCAGCGGGACTACAAAAACAACTTACAATCATATACCTATCTCGCACAATTAACAACACAAAACAAATTAGAAATAGCTTTAGGTTATTATCATAGACTTAGAAATATAAACGGACGTAGTTTGTAAGGTAGAAGAAATTTCCTAATGGCGAAATTGCAAGATTTCGAATGACAGGTTAGCACAAGACGGCACGTAAGAAATAAGCTCCTAGATATTTTGGAAACTTTTAGAGCATAACAGCGATTAATTTTATAATTAATTGTTTACCAAAATGTTTACATGTCCTGTGAGTGACTATGATGTCAATAATTGAACATAACATAAACACTCACGCCTGTCACCCAGAGGGTAGGCAGAGATTACAGACTTCCATTTGGCACGATCCTGACACACCTCTCTCGCCTCTTTCACATCCATATACCTACGCATACGTGCTCGTCGGTTAAGGGTACTCCTAATTTGGCCCGTTTTCAATAAATCGCCAATTTGGTCGATAAATTTTCGCCTAAGACGTCCCTTTCTGACTTTCTACCATTCACTTCTGCAACATAAATTTTCTTTGTCACTCTTTCCTCATTCATTCTTTCCACATGACCAAACCACCGAAGCATTCCTTTCTTAATCCTGGTCACAACATCATTTTGCAAACCACACTCTTCTCTTATCACACAATTTCTCACCCTGTCATTCAGATTCAGTCCTAACATACTCCTTAACGACCGCATTTCTGACTGCGTTCATTCTATTCTCGTGCTTCTTCTGCCACACCCAACTTTCACTACCATACGTTAAAGTAGGTACCAACACAGCATTGTGAATTAATCAAATGAATGAAATGAAATTAATCAATCATCAATAATTGAAATAATCCTAATAGTTGCACTATTCACAGGTAAATTTGCAAGTCGTCGTTACTGCTATGAAGTGTCTATTTTTTGTTAAAATTTTTGTTTTAAACTGTTTTAAATAGAAAATATTTTCAATTATCGTATTAATTTTGATATTTTGTAAAGAAAAAAGTCAAATCGATGATAAATTGTATAACTTTGGTGAATTCATTTTAACACAAAATGTTTTACATGTACGTTGCACGCTAAAGCGCCACTAGACGCCCGCACAGGAGACGCACGGTTCAGTGTGCACGGATAGTATTAATTAGTATAATAGTAATATTTAATACTCATAACGCTCAATGCCCGATTCATCCTTGATGCCCGATGACTGTGCCGAGGGCTTGATAATGGTAGCCTACAGAGTTAGTCGTAGAGAAAAGGAACTCGTGGTTAAGTAATAGCTGTGCGGATCAATAGATCTGCAAGATTAAGTTGCACTTGCCGCGGTCGGTCCATGTATGGGTGACAGTTTTCTTAACATACTGATATTGAGAGAATAGAGAGTTCATCTGTATCCCCATACACTTGGTGCACTTCAATAACATCTGCCTATTTGGCCAGTCTCTGTTAAGATCATTATGTTTTGAAAATTCATGCAGCTAAAGTCACATTATATTATATTCTTCAAGGAAAGATGATAGAGAGAGTAGCCTCTTAAACATATTTGTCTTCAAACATAGCAATCTTATTTAACTGATTCCGACAAGTTTCTTTACTGAAATTATTAAGTTTACATTCATATTTAATTCGAATATTAAAATATTTCTAAATATTCATTGCTAAGCTACTGCACCACGGAGCCGTGAAACTATATATATACTATATATATATACTAAAATACCATACACATTTTGCTATAGAAATAGCTAAAGTAAACAAGTCTAGCTGTTTTAACATTGGTAGGATTTCTAATCCTTTTTACATCATATTCTGCAAAACTAAATCTATTTGCTAGTTTTGATATATATGAGGGCCCATTTGTAGTTTCGCTTTTAGTGTGATTCCAAAAAATTATGGTATCGGCAAGACTCGGCTCCTCCCCTTTTAATACACATTGGTATTTAGATGTTTGATTTTGGAGTTATCAAATTCTTACATTTAGTTATAGTGACTTTTAAATTCAAATTATTAACGTTAAAATGATTTACTAATTTAGTTATAGCATTATTTACTTCTTCATGTAACTGTCGTTTAATTATGAAAATTAATAAAGTACCATCAGCAAAAAATGCTATATTGTGGTTATCCACTACTTTGTAAAGTAAATCAATAATATATACGAGAAACAGAAAGGGGTCGATAATTGAGCCCTGAGGTACGCTCATTTGTAATATCGACTCCGAAGAACGCATACTATTAATAACAACTTTTTGCGTTCTGTTACTTAAATATGAAATAATAAATTTAAGAGCGTTATTTCTTACACCATAATCTTAAAGTTTCCTGATCGATGTTCCATGGTGAACACAATCGAAAGCTTTGGATAAGTCACAGAATATACCCAAATCAATTTTCCAATGTATTGAAGATATATCTAACCAGCTCAACACCAGTATTAATATCATGTAATATGTTGTATTGTAAATTGATTTTATCTATAAAAAAGGTCTCCCTGGGTTTCTTGCTTGTTCTTCTCAGGACAGAGGTTTTTTCCGAACCAGTGACTGTAAAAATTACTTTCAATAAGTATTTATTTAATTTATATTAAACCCCTTGTTAAACCGAATTGATTTTTTTTAAATAAATTATTTACATTAAAAATACATATTTTTTCAAGAATAATTTTTAAGTGTAGGTGGTAAAGAAAAATGTCTAAAATAAGCGGGGACCGCTGCATCACCTAGAAGATTTAAATAAAGGCATTACTTTAATGTTTTATTTATTAAATCAGGAAACACACCAGGTTATATACTAGTATTAAAAATAATAGTCGGTTCAGATGAGATTTTATCTATTATTGAAGCAATAACTTTAACGGAAATCACCCACAAATCTGCGGTTTTCTTAACATTAATGATTATTTCATGATTGAATGATTTGGTGAGGGATGAAGAAGAATTCAGTGAATTACTTATTTTAGTGGTTGCGATCGGAATAACAGTTAAATATTTCTCAAAAACCATTGCAATGTTTGATTTAGTTATTTTTTTATTAAAACTTAATTGGTAGTTCGAATTGCAAGACTTGGCCTTACCATTTTCCACTATTATACTCCATGTTATTCTTATTTTATTAGAAGCCACCTTGATTTCGTTGCTTAAATGCAAAAGCTTAGCTGTGGAGCACACACTTTTGAAAATTTTAGAAATTTTTTATATTTCCTAAATTTGGTGCTAGGATTATATGAGCTTTCATGATAAAGTTCATATAATCTCGGTCCGCTCTTACGGACTCCTACCGTCGTCCATTCATTGATGTCTCGCGATGGAAGGACTGGTATTTGATTGCAGAAACATGTAGGAGGGTATTAACTACTCTATCGCACTCATACGCAGATAAGTCATACGACCTAGTAAAATAATGGCTCAAAGAGCACTATTATACCTCTGCAGATTTTTTATTTAAACTCTACGCGGGCAAAGTAGCGAGGAAAATCTATTTAAAAATAAAAAGTTAATCGGTATAATATAGTTTTGTAAATAAACATTTTATTTTATTTTACTTACTTATTTGACTCTAAGTACACAATTATAGCTTAGAATAATTACAGCTGACATCATTAAGTAATACCGCTATTACACTACAATGCAAAGTATGTAACAATTAATCAGGGTCCACCCTCACCTTTTTGCGCCCTTACTCGGTAGGGATGAGTGACTGATAAAAGTATCGATATTTTT